CACAAGGAGATTGAGTTCTGGGAAAAAATAGACCAACACAAAGAAATTGTCTGTGAAGTAACAAAAAGTTCATACAAATTAGTTTAGTATCATGAGAAGCAAATAAGTTTTATTTTTTGAAGGCATAATTTAACAAACAGTATAAACGGTCTTAAGTCTGTCTAATCTGTACTTTTGTTAATAAACCAACAACTCAAGCACTGAAATTAAAGCGGCATCAACACAGGTAACAATGATTCTAAAACATATTGCTGCTTTCATAGCTGGTGTATTCATCACCAATTTGAAGATTCCTGATACAATGTGAGAAACCCTGTTCAATGGGTGATAAAAAAAAAATTATCAGTATGCAATGTATAGCCTTTTTTAATTTTTCAATCTTTGCAGAACACTGAAAAGCATGATTCCTTGGCTTCATGAAGAAATCACACTTCCGTGCACCCGAAAACAATCAACACCACCGAGAGTGAGTTAAGACAATGACAAACTCAACAAACAACTCCAACTATTTCAAGCAAACAACACAAAAGAGGCACCGGAGAAAAACAATCTCCAAAGAACAAAACCTAATTAAGCATTGCACATCATTACAAAAATTAGCAAAATAAATCATACAAAAACTTCAGCGAGACTGCACATTTTCTTGTGTTTCTTGACATTTTTAAAACCTGGTTCTCTGTCCACATATGCCATTCAAATTGTGACAGGAGGTCTGTCTTTTATTCTACAAGTTTACCCAGAAATGAATGCTGACTTGAACCAAAACAAACCCAATGTATAAAAGAATGACTTACCGAACAAACAACCACAACTGAGTAAAACGCATGTGTCAAACTAATACCACATTTGAATTCACCATCATGGGACGAGTGCTCCAAACTGAGATTAATAAACGAGATGATAAAAGTCATTGTAAGCAAAATGTAACACATCCTGTTTACCAGAACAAATTATTACAAAATGACAAGCCTATGTTAAAAAAACATGGTTTTTATAAACTGCATATAAGCATTACAAGTACATTCACTGTATTTGCAAATAAAAAAATTACCAATTTTTATTCTTGTTTCTTCTAAGTCTTTTCCTTTTTTTTTCTTTTCATTTTTCATTTTGGGCAATTTGAATTTAAAATGAAACACAACTGGACTTCTTCAGAATTAGCTAATCCCCGGCAATTCTGCTAGACTCATGCGACCCAAACAGTACAGGGTTTGGAGACTATGCTACAGTCTACCACTCACACCATAGTCTGGTAATACTTTTGTTGCTCACAGCTGGGTACACCTCTTGGGAAGCCTGGAGTTGTACTGTCTCAGGGGTTAATGAATAACACCCACATACCAATTCGTCAAAGCAAGTTGGACATTGTCAAGCATGTTGAACAGTTTTGCTAAGAAATACTGTTTCCTTAAATGTACAATTCTCTAAAGTTAGGATGAATAATAAAATGATGATATTTCTGCAGCAGTTTTACAGCCATCTTAAAGCATTTATTACTTTCCTGTTTGCTGATCAAATTACCGCTTTGCAAAAAACTTCCTCAAACCTCCAGGAAGCATAAATGGTTGGGTAGCAGCATTTTTTTATATATGGTTCTTTTTTACAAGCAGGCTCTGTGTCAGAGTCAACCCAAACCTTTAACTCACAAGTACCCATCCACTCGTTGATGACAGACAGAAGGTGCAATTGTGGCAAGCGGCCTTGCTCGTGGACACAGCAGCGAGTGTGCCAGGCTGAATTTGATCCCTCCTTCTAGGAATCCAAGCCAAGGAACAAAGCACTTTTGTCATCAGAGCTTGATTTTAACCCGCCCTTTCAGTTTGCGCTCAACAGGACAAGAATTGGAAAGCTTTTCTGGACGTACAGTTGCCATTCAATCCCCTGTATGGTTGGGAGCGATGCATCCTCTGTGTCCGTATAGTGAGCCATCCTGCACACCATGGCTGTGGGGAGGGACATTCAGAAGGTGTGGGCATTGCGACAAACCCCACAGCCGAGTGCGAACTCTTCTCCTGTCACTGGGTGCTCCACGTGAAGCGGGCACTCATCGCCTTCAAGCTGCTTGGCCCTGGGACCTGCAAAGTTCAGAAAAACTCTATCATTAAATCCCTGTTGCTAACAGCGTATTTTCAACAACCTGCAAAGTGTTCTCGCATCAAACATCTGACAGTTCAAAACAGCCAACCTTCAGCAACATTTAACCAACTCATCTAGACATCTGAAGCTCTGAGAGGCATGGTGTGATTCATTTCCCTAACTTTTAGCTGCTATCCATATTCCACTTCAAGTCCCAACCCACCTTTAGCATCTTTCTGTACATTAACCCTAACAGTCCTCAATCCTCCAACAGGTGAAGGATTGAGGACTGTTAGGGTTAAGCCAGCGCCCCAGCAACAACCAAACTAACCCACAACACACATGAAGCAATATACCAGAGTTACAGTACCATTCTCCAGACAAAACTTTCATACAAGTCAAGTTTTCATACCAGCACCGACCACTGGCACTCAATCAATCCCCATCAACCCAATAATGCTCCTGTCCCCTTATCCAAAGTCACCCGATTATCATGGAATCATGTCAAATCCATTTCTATCCCCGATATAACTAATTCATACACTTCTGAATTTGTTATCCACCTAACCATTAACCCAGCCAACCTTTGCTCCCATCCAAATCTACCTTCCCCGCACCATCCTCCAGGTCATCTTTCTGACCAATCCCCCACAATCTCATCTGTCGTCCTATCCCTAGAGCTTCCTACCTGCCGGGCAGTGGGGCAGATCAGGCTTGGGGATGCTGGTGATCCTCTGGAAGTCATCGTGGCAAGCATTGCAGAAGTGCGTCCGGCCGAAGCAGAAGAACACGGCCACAGAGCAGCAGTAACGGCACTTGTATTCAAGGAAATCGGTCCCATGTTTGGGGCACATCTGACAACCACAAAGAAAGAATATACTGCATTTTTCACTGTTTGATCCTCAGTTAACTTCACCAAAAACTATTTGTTGAACAGGATACCGACCAGAAGATAAATCAATGTTTAAAAATTATCATTTTTTTCAATGTCTCTTCACACTGGTGGAAAAAAAGACTGGCGAGGAAGCACCCTTGAATGTCTAAAGAAAACCTTTACTGAACTTACTGAAACAGACAGAAGTAATTTGTGCCAATTGTAAGCATTGAGCAACTACATTCAACTAATTCCTTTCAACTCACAAGCATGCGACTTTTCTGAAATATCACACACTTTGCATACCTGAGCCCTGGACACGTCTGAGCATGCTCCGCACACCAACTCCGTGGGGTCATAATCACCTTGCACCCCAAGGTCCTGGTCACAACGAGCTTCACCTCCATAGTAAGCCTGTCCAGAACAAATTTACACCATTGATCAGGATTAATTTAACCACTTGCTGCCAGGTTTAATTTTGAAGTTGCATGACGAATTCTTGGGGGATTTTCAAGATTTTCTGTTTTCAAAATTCATCAGAAATTCATAACTTCAATTACTGGACGTTTACACCCACACAAATGACTATCTGGTGGCTACTCTAATCTGACGCCCGAGTATTTCAGCCAGGCCTGCTGCCTTGTAAAGACAGCCCAGATTGTGCGATGGTACGTAACTTTATTTTGTTCCCGAACTGACCCAGTGTGCTGCTGGCATCTTTTCAAATGCGGCCAGATTAGCGTGCAGAGGTATTGTATTGCTCATCCATGGAGCACTGGAGCGCTTTTGGCCCCGGTTGTAATCCGCTCGTGCTGAATGCCACAAACAGTGGTATGCTCTTTCAAAACAATGATGGATTACCTCCGCTTTTGACAACTGAAAAATTGTTGGCAATTCCCAGCAGCCCGGTCTTTTGTTCCAAGTACGGTCCTTTGTTACAAGACCCAGCTCCTTTGTCCGATTTCGGGCACCCCGGCTGTGCATATACAGCCAACGTCTCCGGTACAGCGTACCCCGGCACGAAGTGGTTAGAAAGACAGGCAGCAAAGGCAGAAGAGAGGCATGGTTTCAAATCCCACTTCTGACACCAACTAATTTGAAATGGCATGTGAAATTCAAAGTAAACAAGAAATTCAGCTGATCTGAGCACAGTTGCATGACCAGACACAGTGTGTCTTAAGCCAAGCCCAGACAGAATTCACCAAGTTGATGCTTGTGAGAGTCATTTGCTAGCTAAAAATAAAAAAAATTCATCCAGTCTACCTTTTTGCACTTGTAGCAGACGTAGTACGCATATCTGTTCATGGCAAAGCCAGCGGGGTCATTGTAGAAGCGGGCTCCTGGTGTGGTGATGGCCTCACAGTTGTTCAGTCCCTCATACTCCATTCTCATCAGGGCTTTACGTCTGACATCGGCCTGGAGGTCAACGATGGGGGCCAGGACATCTTGGAGGACCTTGTGCTTCATGTCAGCCTAAAATGCAAAAAAAAAAAAAAATGCATCACAAGTCCAAGTCACTAGGACCATGTGCTCGAGATGTCCTCAAGGGCAGTAAGCAGAACAAATTTTTCTCCATGGAGGAATATTGGTGAATGTGGTGACCATGAAAATGCTACCACTGGTCATTTGTAGTAGCCTACAGTAACAGCAGTAAGGACTATGATGACCATTGTACAAAGCCACTTCTCTGCAACAGTTTCTCCGTACAAAACCTAGCACAATGCTTTCCCTTATTACAGGGGGCCATCAAGAATGTCCAGTGACGCATCGCTGGATTTGTCTATATCAGCAGCAACTGTTAACCAGCCAAACTGTAATGCAAGTAAATTGTTCTTAAGCACGTGAATTTGCTTAGCAAAAGTCTAAACTCTGGAAACTTATGTGCGCCTGGTGAAAAACAGCTGGATATGAGTCTGAAGCAATATGCATTTGAAGCACCTTACAAGTTGCCAGAGTTGTGTAGAGTATGCAAGTCTGATTATGTCATTCCTAATATATGAGAAATCAGGTAAATTCAGAACAAGTGCTTAAGACTCATTTTGCTGGATCTAGTCACGTAATGATGCCATGCGTAATAAACCATCTGTCTCAACTAACTCACCTTGCAGATGGGGCACAGGGAGAAGCCAAATGTGATCCGCGGTCCCACCCACTGTCTCTCCAGGACATTTCGGCAGCAGTGCTTGTGGAAAACGTGGCCGCATTCCAGCTATTGGGTGGAAAGGTAAACAAAGGACAAGACTCAAGTCTTTTGTAATCGCTCCGGTTCCACTCTGTAATCTCAAAATAGGGAATGCTCCCACCCAGCAGATGTCAATACAGAAACACTGCTCATTTTATTTCTTGCTCTGTAAAAAATCTTAATGCTCATTAAAATTAGTACAAATACTGCGCATAGGAGAACGTTTGATACAAGTTTTGCATTATGGATTGAAGGTGTTCCTTACACTGACAGATGTTGAATCTTGTCTGTAATTATTTCTGTTTTCAATTATTGCTTAAACTGCTTCTAAAGCAAAATCTGCCGTCAACTTCTCAGGGACAACTGATCAAAATCATCCACTGCTCATAAAGACCTTCCTCAAAGAAGAAGGATATCAGCTAAGAGAGTACCTGTATAGCAGGGGCACATGCCAAAGCCTCGGTGAAGCAGATCATGCACATGTCGTCAGCATCCTGCTTGAGGGTGGGGTCCCGGCTACAGCCGTGCAGGCACGGCAGGCAAGACTCCTCATCGCTCACTCCTCCGCACAGGTGGCCGCAGGGCAGGGTCTTGGAGCAGGCACTCCGGACGTGCCGCTGGCAGTCCGGATCATCGCAGACACTTCCCACTGCCAGCAAGCCACTAGTGGCCAGTGCACCACAAAAGCGGCAGGTTCCCACAGCACTGCCAGCCGCCGCTGCACTCGCTGCATTTCCTTGGGGACAGAATGACGACAGGTGTAAGACTCACAATGTGCACAAGACTATCAGGGTGGTATGCAAAATTAACTAAAAAGAAACCTGAGGTTTACCTCAAAGTTTTGTGAGGTATGTCAGTATAAACCTCAAGTTACCCTTTGTTCACTTGCATTCTTCACTTCAAACCTAGGGGCTTAGGACCGCAATGTTCATTTTTACTTGGATGGTGAATCTGAAGGGCTCACTCTTTGTTATGTCCATAAGCAAGGCTTCAAACCATAATTTGCCCTTCTCAAGCCACCAATAAATTGGGACGTATAAATTGGTGGCACACAGTCATCCAAGAGAAACAAATATATTCAGTTTACTCACTGAAAAACTTCATCCATTTTAGACTCCGGAAACTCCAAAACAAAAAACAACCATGAATATTGTAGCTCTCCATCACACTAACCACTATGGCCTGCAACATTTGAATATTCCCTCCTCAAACGTGTTCAATGCATCCCATCTTTCTCATGCACAGTTCTTTGTAAATCGACACAGTGCGGGGAAACGTATAAAAGAGAGGGGTTAGGAGAAGCCATGCCTACCTGAGGCAGCCTCTTTGAACTCCACCATGGCCTTGAGTGTCTTGGAGTCCGCCAGGGTCATGACCCAGAAGAGCTTGCTACGACCACATCCCTCGTGAAGGTCCACCTTGATGGCCTCTTCCTCCTCCTTGAAGACCTGCGAGGAAGACAACAAGAGGATCTAATACAACAACAGCAAACAAACAGATAGTGACAAACAAACAGGACATCCGTCAAATCTTAGAAGACTCCAACGTGGCCTGGAACCCATACAGTGAATTGGGAGCACTGAACTATAAGATTGGATGCTTTACACCCTGCAATTCCTTTTTGCTTTTGCATTTGCCTGAAGTATAGATCAGCCTTTAAGCTGAGGATGCCCTTTCTTAATTCCGACTCCCATACCTTACGCTGATGTGATCTGGTTCTGCGATGCAGGTGCAGGATCTTGTCACACTCCGCACAGAGGTTGCCACACTCATTGCAAAGGATGATGGCTGGGGTCTCCCCATCGTCGTGGTTATCACAGGTCGGCTGGCATTAGAGACAAACAGATTAGAAGAAATCAATCTCAACTTCAACACATGAAAATGTGCACCTTTAATAAAGTCCTCAACTCTTGTCTCAATCAGTTCCCCTCACAGAGAATCCAAATCTCTTTGGCCATACTTTCAAAGTAAACGGTTTAATCAAGTTGCAGCTTTCATGCAGGGAACTTGCTCTCTGTATTTTGTCAATCAAGGACTTCATGTCTCAGGTTTGTCCCTTTGTGAGTTTCTCTGTATTCAAAGTAATGTATCACTAAATGAAGTCTTGACAGATTCCCCTTAGGAAGAATCAACTATGTCTATCAAAGAGGTAGCCAACCTGAGATCAGTCATTGTTCTCTTCATCTACCCCTTTTTAACAAGCCCTTGAACCAACAATACAACACTCTCACGTTGAAAGATGAAACTTCCCTGACAGAGGCACTTCCAGCATGGATAATATCAAACTCAACGGCATACCTTTTGCTTAATTGCCCCTGCCTCCTTGCTGTGACCCCACTGGCTGGACGAAAGCCTCTCAACATGCTCCGTCTCCAAGACGCACAAGGACGCCAACGACAGCCACAACTGATGAAACAAACAAAACTAGAATCAGTGTTGGGAATGAAAACACAGTCCTGATATTCAAAGTACCGAGTCAGTTTAATGCCATCACTATCACAGACCAGTTCTACTCATTTGATGATGCAGGACCTCTGCTACTCATCAACTTGTAGGAAATCTACAGGTGTGAGAAGTTCAAGACGGCCTGTCCCAAATAGTCTCAAAGCCTTCAGCGGTGCAGATCTATCCCGCCTGAATCAATGCGTCAGGCCTTCCTTGCTGTTCATAGTCATGCTGTGGTACACAGATTGTACAGCAGAGAGTCAGTAGACTAACCGTGTGCGTCTTGATGCATTCCGCTGGCTGCCTCCTAGTCTCGTCCAGCTTAGTCAATGACAGCACTGCCTCAGCTATGGCTCCCTTAGTCACTGTAGCCCATGCCTCTGAGAGTTTGCCCTATGGACAGCACGAAGTAGAACCACCACATGTTAGTCCCTTTGGTGACCGTGGCAGCCAAAGCTGTCAGAGCTGAAATGCCCATCACTGTCACGAACATCCATTTTCTTTGACAGTTTTTTCCCCAGAGAACTATTACGGTTGGCAACAATATGGAACAACATGAAAAACTAAGGCTTTTTAAAGGCCGGTTGATACACATCAAGCTAAAAAGGTTTTAAAAGAGAGAGGTTTGTGGACATTTTGTAAGACATTTTCACAGAATTTGATCAGTTTTTAAAACATTTTCTAGGCATTCTACAACACTGCAAATTGAGGAATGGTAGTCCATATAAGGGTTGAATTTGAAACATAAATTTTGACCTTTCTACATCACACTGGACCAAAGAGTGTTCATCTAATCTTAATTTCAATCATTGCAATATACCATTTAAAGTGTTTAAAGGGGGCAAAGTTGATCAGTGACTCAAGCCTATCAAAATGGAGTTTTCCCTGATAGAAACTCTAAACTGAATTGATAAGCGATAACATCACATTGCTAAGTGAAGGTGAGCACATTTTCCAATTCCATCTTCCTGAGTTGATTTCCAACTCTAACTAGCTCAGACACTGACAAGCCGACTCACCACTGACATGTCTTTGATCAGCCCAATCACCCTCTCCGCGATGTTGAGCGACATGCTGCCTCTCATCCACCACCGACCCTTGCTGGATCTCTTAGAGGGGCTCTCCTCGATGGCTGTTGAAGCAGCCGCGAGCTGCTGCTGCAGCCTGGAGAGGGTTAGGGAATGGGTGCCCTTGGCGCTGCTGCTCCCACCACTGACCCCGCCGCTACTGCTGCTGCTGGACAGCCCCGGGATCTGTCCCCCCGCCGCCCCCTTGACCTTGGTCTGGACTGTCAGGGTCTTGGCAATGCAGGCCAGGAAGATATCCAGGATGCCCACCGTCCCTTCCTCTGTGAAGGGCTCCGTTGGCTTGTCACCCGTGGACTGGGTCAGGATGCTGAGGTCGGCCGGGGGCAGGGCCGTGACACCCGTCAGCTTGGCAAAGTGGGCCGGGGGGATCTCAGGCAAGAGGCGACGTATGATGGAGGTAACCTGTCAAGGGGTCAAGGTGATAACAGGTGAACCTAGAAAACTTACAATAACAGAAAAATAGACAATCTTACAAAAGGCCGAAAGGATCAACAACAGCAGAGTGTTTGACTTCCATAGAGGAAAGTATGCAAAATGGCCATATCTTTTCTGTACCACAAATTACTAGTTTACAAACCATGCTTGTGGTTATCATGAATGTGC